GTAGGTTTGAATCTTCTCAGACATAGGCAGGAACTGAACTAGCTTCAGCTGGTGAACAAGTGTCAGTGTCATAAATGTGGCTTCTGCTTTTGAAGGAAAGGATTTAATTGCTGTTTACAGAAAGGCAGATGTTTATGGTTCTGATTCCCAAGTGGAAAGAGATGCCTAAATCTCTGGGGAGAAGCAGAATTATGTGCAGGCCTTCACATTTCCTACTGGCTTAATTTGATGACATCTCACAGATCTTGTTGAGTTTTATAGATTTGTTTCTAAGATATTTAGAAATTGGCAAACAAGCACTGTTGAATGTTATTATCCTTATCTCCTCTAGACAGGGATATTGGATTGAATTAAACTGTGAACTGCTGAAGTTTTTATTTAGCTTGTTAAAATAAAATAATGAAGCCTGTAGTTTAAGAGTATCCAAGCTCATTTACATTGGAAAACTGGTTTTCTGCTTGCGACATGGTCCTGGTCCTTCCTTATGCTAGGAATACCATCAGCAGTAAACTAGTTTTACAGGACAGTGATCAAGTTTAGTGAGTTTTCTGACTGACAAAATCTATCAGCATCTGGTTAGGTCTTCAGGGCTGTGGCAGTAACACAGGCAGCAGAAGCCCACAGCTCAGAGCTGTGGGGAAGGAAGCACATGGGAGGTAGAAGGGTACTGCTAGGACTCTTACATTTCATTGTGATTAACTACTAGATTGGTTAACTGTGTCTCGACACTGTAGATGTTCTTTCTTTACAGTGAGAGGAGACATGCTGTCGATGGATGTGGATTCTACTGTGAGGGCTGGGTCTATTTCTATGAACTTATTGTAACAACTTTCCTGGCTTGCTGCCAGTTAGTCAAGGTAGATATCCAATGTCTCTATTCTGTTTCCTTGGAACACTGAACAAATGTGTTCAAAACCGTGTCAAGTTGCCAGATTACCATTTCTATTAGTCTTTCAAATCCAAAATTAGCATATTTATATAACTACAAGCACCTTGTTAAAGGACTGAAATATAATCCAACTCAAGCATTATACTTTACATAAATGTGGAAAACGGTCTGGCATTTATAAAAAATCTGCAATAGCTAGACAGTCAAGTCATTCCACATTTTCTGTCATTAACTTGAACTTATTTTCATGAGGTAATTGCATTCTGTCATTGTATCTTAGAGCATTACCTCAGGCAAATCATCTTACTAAAGAAAATGTATAGAGTCTTGTAGATTATTGTTTCTTCCTCAAAATGTGGTTTGTCCCATTTTATTTCATGATAGAAGCAACCACCCATTTTTATTCTCTCTCAAGTTTCTTGCGTGTTTATTATGAATGCCAAAATTAAATGCAGCTATAGAAAGGCCCCCCCTTACCTAAAGGAAAAATCAAAATTCTCTACCAGGATAAGGGGGAAAAAAGGGAGAAACATATGACATCAGCATACTGTCACCCATAGTGGAAGACAATAGATATATCTGCTTTTGCCTATGTGCAACATAACACATCTGTATTTAAATCTCAAACCCAATCACATTTGGTTGAGAAGTTGGCAGTTCTCAGAGAGTGACATCAACTGATCCGTAAATTCAGATACTATTGTGATTACAGATCACCTAAAGCTTTCAGCATGTAATAAATGTCAAAGTCAATTCTTAGTCTTCCATTTCAACAGCCTCCCTTCTAATCTAGGCTGCTATATAAAAATAATTCCCTTTTAGAAGTGTTTTAACTAAAAAGGTCTTGTATTATAACTTTAGCCAGATTTCCCTATAAAATTTGATAATTACTTTTTAATTATCTCTTTTTCCTCAGTAGGGAGTGGAGGGATTCTGGTTCTTTAACAGATTGGGCTTCAAATACACAACTCATAAAACTTGGTATCTCAGAGCAATCCTCATTCCCATCGGTGAACTGCTTGGAAAAAAATGGGTTTTTGCAAGGGCTCAAAAAACAAAACAAAATAAAAAAAAAATGGGAGAATACATACTTAACAGTTCAGTACTGTCTGCTTATGATAAGGAGCTTTCTGAGTGCTTTCCAAAGAGAAATACAAATTAGGGCAACTTCTCCACGGTCGTGTGATATGCAGTGGGATACCAGAACACGCTAACTTTTGAACAACTAACTGAATGTTGCTGTATCAGCCACAAGACAGCATAGTCCTTGTCACATTAAAGTCACCATTGTCACCATATAATATATGTAATGTCACTCTATAATATATTTAATATTCTAAAACATTAAAAATCGTTTGCTGCAGCCAAAACTTAAGTATTTTTCAGTAGCACAACAGCATGAGGGGTATAAATGTGCAAGGTTAATAAAAGTAATGCAATCAATCTGCAATGAAGCAGCTGTAAATGCACCCTTACATTCATTAAATACAGGCATTAAATCCAAAAAGTGTGAGTGTTGTTGTGTAGACCTGACAGACAAACAGCATTGCCATATTCCTCAAAAATGAACATGATTCAATACTTTTAGGTCAGTATCTCATACAAGCTATGAAGAACACTTTTTTTGTGTGTTTTGTTAATGCTTTTGAAATGTGTCTTAAAGTTGCACTTCACATGGTAGACCATGTGTAGATGAAGTATTTTCAAAATTTAGTTTAAAAATAATCTGTATCTGTGTGTGCCTTATAGTGCCTTAGCTAGTTGATTATATACTGCTATACTGAAAAAAATTTATTATACAAAAAGCCCACTTTTTAGTGATTCTTTGAAATCTACAGTTCTACCAGACTGGCCTTCCTCAGTACACAGAATATAATAGCTATTTGTGAAATAAATCATGCAAAAGAAAAAAAAAATACTGTGATTCATGGATGTTACAAACAAAAAATTAATTCATGGCGATGCAAGGACAGATGTAGGAAACTTCAAAGTTGACGCAATGTGAAGTATACTTTGGATTAAGTTACACAAAAGCGTCTCAGCAGATGTTACCAGTTAATGTAATTATGCTAGGTGTAGTATGCTAGAGGACTAGGTTTCAGACCTTCAGTTTACCCTGCAAATAATTGTAAACCTCTCCAAAGAGGTCTTCTTCCAGCCCCTTAGCTTGCTAAGGAAATCATGAGCAATTTCTCCATCTGTTTCACAGTGACAGTTTCTTTAAAATAGAAACTATCCATGCTGAGCTCCAGTGCAATGGATAATGCAGTACATTATGTATTCAGAAATATATTAAACGTATGAACTAGCTCTTGACTGGCTGAGCCACCTAAAGATTAGATAAATTATAGAATAGAGCTGTAAGGACTTCTTCATATTCTGAACAGCCTGGCAGACTAGAATTATTTCGGTATTTCATTGCATCACAGGCTACCTTATCCGGAAGAAGTATATTACTCATCAAGTAGCTAAGGCCTCTATAAGGACTTATGGAAATTACTGACTGAAATAGGTACTGTCAAAGACCATTCCCAAGGATCACCTCTAACTCAAAAAATGCAAAGCCCTCATTTATTTTCTGTTTAAACAGACTAGCTCCAAAGCTAGTCAGTGCCACTGAGTGTGACAGCTACAAGATCAATGAGCCGCTATTTTTCTCCTTTCACAACACATCTGTTTGAGCCTCTTTCTTTTTTTAATTGATCTGCACTACTGAAGACAATGGATGTATATGCAGACTAATGTGGAGAAATTACTCCTTTCTCCACTGGAATCATTTCTGTAAAGAAATCATCACACACTGACAAAATGATAAGAAATTGCAGTTTATCTAATAATACTGAAAGTTGCTCAGGGATGTAAGTTTGATATGAACTGTAGGAAACAGTTTGGAGGGGTTTAATGGCTTGGGGAATTATTTTATATAATATATATGTGTGTATAGAGCTACCTCACACACACATATATGGTAGTCCATTCCATGCTAGAAATCCAGACTTTTATCCCTAACAGACCTTGAAAACAGCTGCTGAAGATGATCATGTCTGGCAGTAATGTTTCACAGTTACAGTGCAGTTTGACAGCTATATTAATGATCATTCTTCATACCCCCTCTCCTAGGGATAAGCCTACCAGAAACCAAACCAAACCAAAAACTATGTAAATGCCACAAGGAGAACACTGGAGTTACAGGAGCATCATTCAGAATCAGGAAGGGTCTGCACCCTCACAGGAGGACAGTGGCTCTCCATTACCTAGGAAGACGGTCTGCTGAAAAATGCAGAAACACTTCTCTGCAACTGATGGCTTACGTTAAAATATGCAACCTAACTGGCAGTAGCGCCTACTTTGCAGCTATGTTACCATTACAGTTCATGAAAAAAAAATGGAAAAGAAATATTTCTAAGGTAAAAAAATCCAGGATTCAATTTCAACCATTTCAGCTACCAAAATCCACACAAACTACAGGTTTCTGTAAGCCGGTATACAAGATTCAGCTATGCCATAATTTAACAAAATTTAAGTTAAATATATGGCTGCTGCAGGCAGACATGGGAGAAAAAAAAAAGGCAATTCAAATATGGTTTGGTGAGGATGTGTCAACACACATAATATCCACTGTCAGTGATTGAACACAGATTTTATTCCGTTTAGGGTAAACTTTGCTTCTTAAGCCTGCTGCATGCATGAAAAGTATGTTATAATTTCAAATATACAAGTAGCTTCCACTCTAGAGGACAGAAAAAAGAGGCTTGGAAAAAAAAAAACCTTCCGCAGTACCTCAAAAGAAACTATCAGACCAAGCACACACTGAAGTCACTGACTGAAACTCAGGGGCAGGTACCCAGGCGGCCAGCACAGCCAGGCCGTTTCTGCAACCATAGCTTTTAGCCTAGCCAGACACCAGGACGGAGGGCGCGGGGCACTGAGGGATTCGGGACCCAAGGCCACTAACGTCCCTAGCCGCCACCCCTGGGGCCGTAGCCGATGCCGTTAACACCCACAACCGTCCCCCCGCTCCGGGCGCGCTCCCGCGAGCATGCGCGCAGCACTCGGCGCCGCGGAGGAAAGGCGCTGCCTGCGCGCGCGCCGACCGCTCCTAGCCCATTACCTGAGAGCTGCCCAGCGCCGCCGCTTTCTTTTTCTTGGCGGGGCCGCCGCCAGTGCCGGGGCTCAACGGGCGCTTCTTGCTACGGGATGGGGCCCCGGCGGGAGAAGAGGCCGCAGCGGGGAGCAGAGCCGCCATCGCCCCCGCGGCCCGCTCTGTGCGCGGGCTGAGCACGCCGGTGGGGCGGCGCCGGGAGAGCGCCCTTCCCCCACGCGCCGGTTCCCTGCCGTTGTGTGCACATGCTCGGTGGCGCCGCGGGAGCTGCGGGTGGCTCGCTGCGGGCCGTTATTGGGCATGCGCAGTAGGCAGCGCGGGGGCCGCCGCCACGGGCGCCCGGAGGGGCGCGGGAGGCGGCTCTGGGTGCCTCGCGGGGAAGGCGAGGGCGTGGCGGAGCTTTGGCCGGGTGCCTTTGGAGGTGCCTGCCGCGGGCCGGCGGAGCTGCCGCTTCGGCAGCCGCGGTGACTTACAGGAAGCGGTCTGCTTGCGCTGCTCCTTGCTCTGTGGGTGGCTGCGTTGTATCAGGAGCGGGTGGAGGGGGAGCGCGGCCGTGGAGGGTTCTGTCAGCGTGTATCTCACTTCTGTGAGCTCTGATGAAAGTCCCTGCAAGCTGGAGGCTGCAAAATCAGCAGTGTGTTTGCTAGCCGTAGGAAGTACTAAGTGTGCCGTGTGGGAAAGGAGGATGTAGCTGTGCTCCATGTACTGCAAAGGCTGAACAGTGCTGCAGTGTGTGGTAGCTTGGCAATTGCTTTAATCTTGAAGTAAAATGCGATGTGAGGCCTGACTTAATGCAAGTTGTGGGGGAGAGGGAGAACCTGGCTGACATGTAACTTGTGCCCTAGAGTCTAAGACTATGCTTTTGTGGCAATTACTGTCTACTATAAGTGAAATAAAGCTTGTGGAAAACATTGTTAGGCCAAGAGAAGAGCCTCTGTGTGTTTAAAGTGTGTTGACTTTTCCAGCCATGTTAGTGGTCTTGATAAAATACAACTTCTTTTATTTATTCAGTTCTAAGATCATGAGATCCAAGAGTCTTAACGATAGGTCTGCCCTGTTATGGACCACGTTTTAATTGTGTAATCTTCCTAAATACAAATAGCCTGTTGTTTTTGCGATTAAAGTTTTCAAAATATGCTGGACAGATAGAAGGTACACTGTGCAACATACTGTGTTGATATGGCTAGTGAACTGGTTTGAAGATTTTGTTGGAATGGGGAATTACTTTGTGCCAGAGCAACATATCAGGGTAGTTTTGAAGTGATTAGGACTATGATATAAAGTATTTTGGCAGTTCTCTTACAATCTGTGCTGTTTTGTTCTATGCCTTGGAGAGCTAGTTTATGGTCATGTTGTGTTAGTGCCTCTGCTAAAGCCTCCTTGATGGCTGATAACACTGTTTTGGGCTTATTTATGCTTATGGATGATCATGATCAAAATCAGCCCATTGGTCAAATTACTGCTATTGTGGGTTTTTTTTTTTTTTT